TTCCCTTTTTGCTGCAGGTTTCCACCCATGCCAGGCTGCTAAACCAGAAGGATTTAGAAGTGCTGAGGAAGACACTCAATCTCCTAGATACAATCCACTGCCTCTTCCTAAGCCAGTTTGACACTGAACACGCTTTCTGCCAGGACCTCAGGTGGGCTGATATTTTTCTTTATCATTGCAGGTGATTTCCACTTCTCACAGTGCTTCGGGGTGAGGTGGGGTGAGACCTTTCTAAGAGAAAGCCTTAAAGAGGCTGTTTCATTGTACGAATTTCTTCAGTGAGCCGCAAGAAGCGAGATTGCTCCTCGTTCAGTTTCATTTTGATGAGCCGCAGAGCAGCAAAAGACTCCTGGCCTGTGCCAAGTAAGCAGCCTTCCTTTGTCCTTTCTTCTTCCTCCATCCTCCTCCGTCCTTCGTTGTCCTTTGTTCTTTCCTCCTCCCTTCTTTCCTCCTCCTTTGAGGCAAAACATACTTCTCAGAAACCTGTGCTGCCTTTTGGCCTTTTTTTCCCCCTAAGACTTGAACTGGGCTGTGCTCTGGACTCTGTTGTCTCATTTGCCCATGTGGTCATAGCAGGTTGTACCAACAGTGGCCAGAAAGAATGTCTTCTTGGGGTGGCGTCCACCCAAGAAAGCGGATTCAGGTGCTTGCAGCCTTTGGTGGGGAGGGAGATTAAGCCCTGGAAGGGCTCATAGAGGGAGGAAATGCAGTCGTTGCTTGGAGAGATCGGTCAAACGAGTCTGAATTAACCAGCTCTGACCTTCTGGTGGTGCTTCCAGGTACTGTGTCACAGATGAGCGAAGGAGGTCGGCCAGCCCCCATCTGTTGCATGTTGTGCTGATCACTAAAGTCCCGCGGGTCCTGGGAAGGTGCAGCTACCTGGCTTTTGACAGCAGTAAGGTGACGCTCACTACTTTGGGCTGGGAAAAGAGTGGGATGAGAACATGAAGATGGGCAGAGAAGGCACGTGAAGTGGTGAATCTTCCGCTTCTCGCTTTCTTCCTGCCCTGGTTGGCTGGTAAATCCGAGCAGCCAAGCTCACTGGTTTTACAAATGGCTGATGCACCAAAAGAGAGCAGATGGACTGATCCATCCTCTTGCCTCTCCAGGCGAGTGGAAATCCATCCACTTGGATGACCTAATGCCCCCAGAGAACTTTAAGGCCAATCTCGGCCAGCTCTCCGAAATGACCATTGCCGAGATTTTCACGAGCAGCTCCCTGCAGCACCTCACCATAAACCCACCGTCTCCCCACTGCTGTCCCTTCCAGAAACCCACTGTCCCAGCTTCCATGTCCCACCTGTGGATGGGAATGCATCTGGATCAAGCAGGTCCCAAGCTGTGGGTCCCAGGGGCACTTGCTGCTTTTGAGGTCTTCATAGCAATGCAGCCTTTGCCTCCTGACAGAAAAACTGTGATGGCGGAGCAAGCAGTTAATGATGGAAAGGTAGCTGTCCTGCTGGAGACTTCTGTGCGGAGTCAACATGCGCTTGTTGACCCCCATTCTTCGACTAGATGGTTGGGCAAACGGGGAAGAAATGGTCCGACCAATCATTGCAAGCCAGCTCTGGGTGACTCCTTGAATCCATGTTCTTGTTTAGAGGTTGCCAGCCAATTGCTCCACAAGCCTGAGGGTCTCCTGGCATCAAGAAGCTGATACCAAGCAGTTGGGTGGCTTCCACCCCAGTGCTACTTTATTTCTCCCTGTTGATTGTCAAGGCACTTCCGACACCTCCTGTGGATGGAAGTATCTCTTGTTGGTGTTTTGACAGCAGAGTCGTGTGGTTGATTGTGATTTCAGGTTCTCCAGAGAATTCTGCTGCCCTGGGAAGCCTCCCCGAGTCTGGTCTTTACCCAGAGGAAAATGTATGGCTTTTTTCTTTTTTTTCCCTCATTTTAGTTGCTTGCCATTGTGCAAGACCTGGCTTGGGTTTCAACAGACATTTTGGGATCTGCTTTTAAAGGGCCTTGCTTGGGCTGGTACCGTCTCACAGGAAAGAATAGCTGCAGGTCTTCCTGGGTCCGATTGTGAGGGTGAAGTAGGGTGGTGGTCTCCCAGCCCACCTGTGAGCGACTGGGACAAGACCAGGAGCCTTTTCTCACTGTCAACAAAGCAGTTTCCCTTACCAGGGACATCAGCAGCCCTCCACGCCCCGGGGACTGGCTTAACCGGGGTTTGTTGGGATGGTAAGATGGGATGGTAAGATGGGTACAGACCTCGGAGCCCACTGTGCTACGTTCTGGAGAAGATGAATCGATGTTCCAGGACAAGCACCCCCGGCAAATGAGAGCAAAGTAGCATCAAGCAACCAACTGACCACCAGTCTTTTCCAGCCACAATTCCTCAACGCCGACTCAATGATCAAAGGCAGCATCCAGAAGGCTGCGATCCAGCTGGAGGACAAGAAGGACAACAGCCAGCGTCCAACGGAGAGAATAAAGATCCTTCACAACTTGCTTTTCCACGCTCAGAATAACAGTACGTGTGAGCAGAGCGAACTAGAAGTGGCTCCTTCTTGCACATTGCAAGCCGTGTGGTGAGGAGACGACATCATCTAGGTTAGGAACCAGTTCTGGTGTCCCTCAAAGCCAAGGTGGGTGGAGAAGTACCCAAGGGACAGAGGACGAGGTTTGCATATGGTCTCCTTCACCTCCCTGCACAGTCCTTCATGATCAGAATCTACTAAACCACAAAGCTTTGCTGCAGACTTGGTAGATGATCCCAGATGGATGTCACTTACCGATGGAAGTCGATTACTGTGTAGGTCTAATTAACAAAAAAAAAAATTAGGTGGTATGATTTTTGAGTGGAAAAACAATGGCAACCAAAATCCTTTGCAGGTTTTTGACAGAGTCGAGATGAGCACAAGGAGGGTTTTAACCAGCGCTGTTTTGTGCTTACTTTCTAGCCACTTTATGACCATCCTGAAGAAGAGAATTTGTTACCTCCTACAAGAACGAGAGAAACCCATCCAAGAGCCAAGGGGATGGATTTTCTGCAGGGCGCTCTCTACCGAATTCATCCTGGAAGATACATCGTTCAGGTAGTGCTGGCTGTGAGCCACTTTCCTAATACCAAGTAATTCTGTTCCTAAAACTTCTCTGTGTCAAGTATGAGGCACCTTGCTTAAAGACCAAGACATGACAACCAAGAAGTGTCAAAATATGTGTGGGGTTTTTTTTTTAGTTTGGCTTTTTTTTATCATCCTAGAAGAAGGTGGGGGCTTGCTGAAAAGTCATAGTCAGTCTCAAAAGCAAAAAATTAATTAAGAGCACTGTTGTTGTTGAGGCAGCTTCTTTTGGAAGGGCTTGTCTGGAAGCAAACAACGTTGGTGGACTGTGACATAGACAAGGATGGCTACTGTCAAGCCTGGACGTCCACATTTGGTGTCTTCAGAAGTGGTTGGGTTGTTTTGGTTGACTTGTGGGTCTTCAAGACCGATGCTGTCCCCGGGCAGAGGAGGGTTTCTTGGTGGGAAGCAGGGAAGCAATGTAACGAGCCGCGTCATCTCCTTTTTCAGACAAGCGCTCTGGATGCACCTGGAAGACATTGTGGCAAACGTCTTTGCCCAAATTCTCGCCGTGGTGGATGCCAACAACCTGGATCACATCTCTCAAGGCTCGCCGCTCGCAGAACTGTGGCTCCAGATATTCCAAGAAGAAACATTCCTAAAAATCAAATACACCAGGAAGTAAGAGGCAGGGTATAAATGCACAGTAAGGTGGTTTTCCTTAGGAGAGTAAACGCTTGTGTTGGTAGTGAACCTGTAGCTCATGCTTGAGGTGCAGATGCGTATAACTTAGCCGTGGAAGGTCTTGGGTGTCAAGCCACTGGCACCAAAACGTCCCTGTTATTTTAAGCTATCAGCAAAATTGGCCCAATTTTCCCTGTTCCTGACTTTCCTATGAAATTTCTCCCCAGGTTTCTGAACCCTTTTAAAGAGAAGACACATCAGTGGGAGTCGAGAACTTCTCTGAGGTGGTCCATCTCTGGACACCTACGGTCTGTTGAATGATTTAATGCTTCTTTCTGCGCTGTTTGAATTCAAGGGCGGCAGATGCTAAGATTCCCGTGTTATCGATGGCCGAAGACCCCAACACCTCCCTCTTCTCCCAGTTGCCCTTCAGTTGGGTTTTGAAAGCCTACCTGGATGACATATGGGAGAAGGTCTCCCATATGAAAGGTGACATCAGAGTTTCCATGGGGGAGCTTTAACCCAGCAAAGCTGCCAAAAATCCACATCCTTCGTAGGAGGAACCTCGGGGGCTGTGTTCCTCACTCAAATGACCCAGAACTGCGTTGTGCATCTCTTCTGCATTATATCGCCTATTACATTGTGCCCGTTCACCCGTGGCCTTGCATTTGGCCACACGTCCACCTCAGTCTTAACGAGGAGCTCCCAATTTCCGCTAAGCGGTCGTAACTGTCTTCTCTGTCCCTTCTAGATCAACCCGAGAAGCCAACAGAGGAAGTGGCCAGATTCTACCAAAGCTTCATCAAGAACGTCTTGATGCCAGATGGCAGCAATCCAGACGTGCTACGCTATTACGCCAGCGACTTTCTCAGGATGGCTTTTCCTGGGCAAGATCTCTCAGTCTATGAGGTGAGTAGGATTGGGTAGAGCACCGTCTTCAGCTGGCATTAGCTTTGGCCCTAGTCCTAGCCTTCCTGGCCAAATCTGACGTTCTTGATAAATCCTCCCTTGTGCTGCTCTGTGGCTGCTCCTCAACTGTTCCGAACATTCGGTCTTAATGCCATTTATGAACTATTTTTGATGGGGAAACCTCATATAAGATACCACAGCAGTGGTAAGCATCCCACCTTAGTCCCCTTGCTGTTTACTTTGAGCAGAAACAACACTTTTCATTTTACCTGCAGGTTCTATCAAAAGTTTTCCTAGCCAGCGCAGAACAACTCTGCTCCTCTGTGGGCAGGGGGGAGATGAGCTTTTCCCCAATTTGGCTTCACATGGAATATTTCTACCTCCGAGACGATTATCAGCTTTTCGTTGATATAGCAAAAAGCAACGACGCTGTCATAAGCGAGCTGCAGGCAATGTATGAGACGAACCCCCCCAGAAATGGTGAGCAAAGAGCTGTGTTTGCCCTCTAACCCTTCTCCTACGGCATTTGAACGTGATGGCCTTCACAACTTCGATCATTCAGTTACATGTTATGTAGTTAGTAAGACATCCTTTTGTGTGTGTGTCACTCTGGGTATTACGTTGAAGTCCCCTTAGACACTTTGACCCTAGAGGTGGGTGGGATTCGTTGTGTCACGCTTCAGTGGTGTATTCCATCTCCTTAGCTTGCCACATCCACGTGGAGATGTCCACATCCCTCCTAAGATGCTTATTGCTTGGAGCACCGAGCTAAGGTTTTTAGAGAACTCCCCATGGCGACCCCAAGATCCTTTGTTCTCCAAGATGCAGTTAGGTTCATTAAAGCCCTTCCTGGTTTACAGATGCCAGCACTTCACCCGTAAAAAGTCCATTTCTTTCTAACTTAGCCCTGTCAACTACTCCAAAAGCCATACCAGCATCTAGTCACGCGGTATCCCTTCCCTCTGTGCCATCCACCAGCGAGATCCGTTCTTCACCTAGACTCCAGCTTTCTCTTGTCTTTGCAAATGTCATTTCAGTTTGCCACTCTCGATGCCTTGAACATTCTCCTGAAGAAAGTGCAGCCCTCCGAAAATGGACTTTTGCCCTTTGATGCCTGCGTAGCGTGGCTCAAAAGCGTCAAGTCCATTAAGCCCTGGGTGGAGTGGATCAGTCTGGACAACTACCAGCTTCAGTTCTACCAGAAGAAGAAGAAACTCCTGGAGAGTGTGTTGTAAGTTCAGTTGCTCTCTGTTGACAGTAGTGCAAGCAAACTTCTTGACGTCTGAAGGTGAGGTGAACTGAAGCCACCCTCCTCTTGGGGAGCCGGAGTCACGAGTCCTCCAGCTGTCCACGCCTTCCCAGTCCTTCCTCATTATCACAAAGACAGTGGCAAAGTGGCTCCAAAAAAAAGTCTTGGATCTTTCACCATGATCAAATTGCTTAGTTCTGGTGGCATTTCTCCTTGCACGCTTGACGGTGCCAAAATACTTTCTGGAGTGGGACAAGTAGGTCTCTCCAGAGACAACACCCAGAAATGGACTGGCAGTTTCAGTTTGGCCCAAGGTTTGTTGAAACAAGCAGCGTAGACAGGACCATGCCATATCTTTCTCCCTCTAACGCTATGTCAGAAGGTCTTGTGTCCTCAGGTGACCGCACGCTACCTGGGATGAGTCGCAGAAACACCAGTGGGAAGGGACCTTGGGAGGTCTGCGGTCCAAACTAATTGGCATCCTTTGGGGGGGTGTGTTTTACAGACATCGCTGGACCTGCACCAACATTGTCTACATGTTGATTGACCACCTGCTGCACAATGAGACACAAATAGAGGAGAAAGTCCTGAGGCTTGTGGTGAAGCATTTAATCTTCCTCTGGAATGTAGGTGTTTCCTGGGGCAGCTCATGGCTGTGAAGCTTGGGAGGGCTCTTCTCTTCCAGGAGACCTCTGGTCCCAGCTGTAGTGAGGGCTTAGGAGTGGGCAAAGGCTGGAAACACCATCCAAGAGACAAACACTATTTGGATTCAGTATCCAAAATGAGGGCTTCAGACTCAAGAAAGGCTTCCTTGAGACTTTAAAGGGGTGCTCCAGGTCGCTTACCCTCAGAGGTCCACGCAGTGACATCCATACATGGATCTGCTTAATTCTGCTGTTAAAATCTGTGCCCCTGCAGCACTGACATCCCTTAACGTTCGTCCTCCACATACCAGAGAGATGTTGTTGCTGAACTTGCGCCGTGTGTTTGTCTTTTGCAGCGCCTCTACGTAACCTCGGGATTTGAGCCGGAGAAGACTTTTGATTTGGTGACGAAAGTGCTGAAGAAATGCAACGAGAATGCCGATGCTGTGTATCTGGTGTAAGTCCGAGCCGGAAAAAAGTTGACTTTGGGGTCCTTCTCCATCGATGCGATGTTTGTAAAGGGTGGGGGAAATACGTCAGCACTAGGGGTGAACGTCTTTGGGCCAAAGGGAGGCCATACTGATGAAGCCAAGGGGTGAGAGCCTGTCTTGGAAGTGATGAATCATCTCTGGAAGAACGTCTTTTAGGTGCGGTGCCAAAGAAACCAGCTCCCCTGAGCACCCAGGCTCTCCATCCCCTTCACCCAGCCATCCTCACCACAGACCTCTCTGAGATGGGATGGGCCTCGGGCAGCTTAGAAGCTGCTGGTTCTTGAAGCAGTGGTGTGTCACCCTGATTCTCTACTCACCAGTGAGGCTAGGCAAAAGCGCCCATCCAGCTTCATCCCCACCCCAGGGTGTATGTTAGGCAGTAGCCAAGCCACCCCCCTCCTCAAATCCGGCAGCAGCGCTGAGCTGCCTCTTCTTTTGGTGGTGTCCCTCAGGAAGGGTGTGAAGGAATGCAAGAGCTGCCTGCAGGAGATCACTGACCCGGCGGAGCTGCCCTGCGGCCACATCTTCTGCACTCGCTGCATCCTGGAGTGGGCGAACAAGCAGTGTAAGATCTGCAAGGCGGAATTCCCGGAGGATTATACGCCCACGAGGTTTCCCGGTGCTGGCAAAAACCTGCCTGTCTCAAGTGTCTTCATGTTAAATATTGGGATAGAAGATGCTGGTGCCTGAACAAATGGCCATCTTGTCTCCCTGGTTTGGGTCCTGTGCTCTGCAGAGAGAGGGACGTTGCTTCTTTCCTTGGTTGGCGGTTGACCACGAGTCTCGGTTTTCTTCTTGCCTCCAGGGAAGCTGTCGCCTGTCACAACAAATTCAGGAGGAAATGCAGTTCCTTCTTCGTTGAGTTCATCACCGTGTACTTTTTGGGAGACAGAGAGGCACCATCTGCTAAAATCGTTCAGCGACTGATACAGTTTGTGGCTTGCAAACCCAACCCTGAGCATCAGGCGGGGAAAAGGGTACAAGAGCTTGGTTCTGCACTACCTGGGTCTGACCTTGCGCTCTTGGAAGTCAAATAACGGATGTCATCCTTCCTTCCTAGTGTACAAGCCGAAAAGCGAGTTGTCGCCCTTCGAAGAGTGCATGACTACCGTCCAGTCCTCCCTCCTGAAGCTGCTGCTGCGATGCGGGTCAGCCCCGAGGTTGCTCCCAAACCGCATTGCTGAACCCCTTGGCTACGTGGATGCTGATGCTCTTGTGCCCTTTTCTGCCCTAGGTTCAACAACGTCAAGGTTCACTTGGAAGAATACCTGTCCCAGACGGAGGAAAAGATAATATCCAACCAAAGTAAGATGGACCATTTCTGCTTCATGGTGGTGCACTGTCTGGAGGTGAGTGCCCGTTGGGATGCACTGGGAATCCCAGCAAACACCATAACTTGGAGCCACCACCCCAGCTAAAACCTATTAATCACACTAATTACTCCCCCCCTCCACATTTTTTTATGGCTGAGGAACCAAAGGAGGAACTCACCTTGAAGATGAGGAGAAGGCACAAGGAAGAAGGAGGAGCTCCTCAGTTATAACCCACCTTCAGTTTCTTAAAAACTCTCTCTCTCTCTCCCCCTCTCGCAGGATTTTACGTATCCTTCTTCTGAAGACGTCAGCCAGCTTGCTGAAAACTGCCTCGCCACCGCAGACCTGTCCGCTTTCTGCAAGCCCGAGGTCTCAAGAATTAACACCCTCCAGTTCATTGCCTAGCTCCGGCTCTCCATCAGCCACCTGGCCACCGTGCTTGGCCGACGGATGCTTTCCGGTGAGTCCTTTTGCTTAGCGTAGCTTGAAAACTGTGCCTTCCCCTCAGCAGGTCTAGAACAAGCCCAGAAAAGGTCTAGCCTTGGAAGTTTTTGCTGGAAAATTACTGTTTTTATGAAAATTGAAGTTGTTTTGGACAAACTTGCCAGCTCTTCAGTTCCCAGACTCGCTGTGTTCTCCAAGTATTTCCCTACGTATTAAGGGACCCTCTGGACATTGGCTTGAAGCCATGTTTCAACTTGTGGTGGGAAGATCCTACTGGATCCTAGACCCTACTGCAACCTAAACAGCTGTAGGGGCTGCGTTGGTGAAGGACACGTGTGACGTGCCACCACCGGGGACTGGGCATAATGAGAAACCTCCTTGCCAGCTGCAGATCCCAATGCACCCGCTGCCGAGGGGAATGAGAAAGAGCAAGACCTGGTGAACGCAATGAAGAAGCTGGTGGCGAAGGCTCCGACTCCGTGGCCTCAGGTGTTCCTCATCAGAAATCTCTGTGACATCTACGGGCTCGCCTCTATGTGGAAGACCCTCCAGGTGGAGAAGTGGATTTTACCCCAAGGGGTAGAAATTTCACAGGTGGGTTATTTTTCGAGAGCCTCGTGCCGAAGCAGAGCTGAGAGGGGTGATGGGATTCACGGAGCTTGAGCCCTCTAAAATTGACTCACAGGGCTCCCTTTCGGTTGAGGAGCACGACAGGTCCCCATAGGCTGCAGTCAACCTCCTCTTTGTGCCCTTCCGCTTGCTTCTTAGGATAACAAAGTGCATCTGTGTTTTTCAGGATAGAAGCACCCGGTCGAATACAGCACTGATGTTTTCGGTGCTGGACAAAGCACAAAACCAGCTAAAGAGCAAAGATTCCACGGAAAACCAGAGCTTGACTGTGAGTATCCGTTGTGTCTCTCACAGGAGGTTTCCACAGCTGTTCGTCTGGAACTGTTGGTTGGTCTTGGACCAACCTCCTGTTTCCAGGAGGTTTCCATCTGTGTTGATGGAGAGCTGTGCCAGCTCCCTGCTGCCAGGGGACACAAATGGGACACTGCATGGACAGTGAACCTCAGTGGTGAAGCCAGAAGACCCCTCACGGGGAGGTGCCATGACAGTTGCCTTCACTTAAATCTGTTCTGTTCAACTTTCGTAGTCCGTCATGAGACAAATGGAGACCATCCTCCGGTTGCCGTCCATCCCAGATGAGCTGCTGGAAGACAAACTGAAGAAGATCATGGATGCTTTGGGTGACGGTGAAGACCCAGGCCTGCTGGAGGTGGTCTTCCACACTGCGCTCACTCTGGCCTTGTTCCCGAGCCGCATCACTCACCTCCTCAAGAACATCTGCTTCAAGCCTGATGTGGTGAAGGTGAGTCGCAAGGCCGAGGTGCACAGCTCTCTCCACCCCACTGTCCTGGCACAATGTGTCCTGGCAGACAGGCTTTGTTTTGGTCAGCTTGTTGCTTTGTAGATCATTGTTCCTCTTCCTTCTTGTTCCTTGGGCTGAGAAATAACGGCGACCATCCGTCCTGGTCTACTTCAAATGTGGATGAGATGTATGGTCTCCCTCACTCCCTCACTTGGTCCCCATTCCCTCACCAGAAGTTTCTCCCCGGTTACAGTGGCCACGCAGGCGGACTCTTCCTCCCCACTGCTTGCTTTAGAAGCAGAATTGTTCCTCAGATAGGTGGGAAGCGAGCTAGGAAGATGGTTACCCGACGCCTCCCTTTCTATCGTGTTTCCTTTCAAGGGGTCCTACCTTCCCACCATGCCTGGAGACCTGCTTTTTGACGAGAAGAACTGGAAAATTGGTGCGATGGATAAGATTTGGAGTAAGTGTGGGGGGAATCTCGCGCCTGTGCATGTCGGTGACCCACCAGCAACTGATTGAGATCAGGCAGGGGACGGAGGGAAGGGATTAAAGACTCCCGAAGGCTATCTCTGTCCTTCTGTTGAGTCGTTCATGATCTCCACCTGGGTGGAGCAACTTTGGGTCCTTTTTGACAAGCTCTGAGAGGCATGCGGTGGGGCTGTATGCCAGGAGGTGGGAGCCAGGCCTGTCACCCTCTTGGTGAGCTTCTGGCCACGTTCCCATCACGGAGGGTTTTGTGGGAGATGACTGACTAACCGTATCCTCTTTCACACATAGCTTGTCAGTGTGGCTCGTACTGGATTGTCACCAATGGAAGTGTCTCCTTCTGCCTGGTGGTCTTTGCAGCTCTGTCTTCTTGCGCTTCTCATTGCATCTCTGTCACCTCCACGGGAAAAAGCCAGGCTTGGGATGAGCTTCTCAGGTCTTCTTCAGGCTCCCAGAGGTGCCCATCCCCATTGCACCATCCTGAAACACATCTTGGCCTCTTGGCCCGGCTGCTTCTACTGGGTGGCGGCTATAAATGCTCCTCCTGCTGCCCTGCTCCCCTCCTAATGTGGACTCCAATGTCACCTCTGTGTCAAGTGGTCCTTCAGCTGCAGGAACAGCTGCAAGGCTCAGAAGCCAGGCGGGCTCTTCTACAAGCCAGGCGGGCTCTTCTACAAGCCAGGCGGGCTCTTCTCCCAGCCAGGTTGGCTCTTTTCCCAGCAAGGCACTAGGCTAAAAGGGGCTGGGATTTTGTGTCTCCCCGTGGGAGCAGTGGAGCGAAGCAGGTGCTTCCAGGTCTTGGTTAGTCCCATCCCCAAATCGATGCCTAGACGTATCCTGCTGACTGTAGGAAGAACCTGGCTGGTCTGGAGATGTTTGCTCATAGGCACGCATCCCCTCCTGCCTCTCGTTAGCTGTTGCAATGACCCCATGTAGAAAGCCAGGTGGAGGACGTGGAAACCCCCTGGGTGCCCTCAGCTTTTGCTAGATGCCTTCAGCACCCGGCTGGGCTTCCAACCCTCTCTCTCGCTCCACCCTCACGTGTCCAAATGCAGTGTGGGCTTCCCATGGAAGTGAAGAAATGCAAGTGTGGTGCTGCCGTTGGGGGAACTAACCACAAACCTGAGACAGGCTTCATGCGGAAGGAGATGTAAGTCAACACTCCTGGCTCCGAAGCCCCAGAGGGCTTCACCCACCCACCTAACCCTCCCGCAGAGCCATGGGCATGGGGAAAATGCCATGGTTGGCCAAAGCAAAGGTCTCTGCGTCCCACGGTCCCATTGTGGGACCTAGCAAAAGACGTGGTGTGTAGTTGCTCTTTCTGAACGCAGCACCGAGGATAGAACGGAGAAAGGGTACATCCTGGCGAGCCGTCTCTTGCGGAGAAATGAGCTGGAGAGGTGCCTGTCGCCTGCCTGCGTCAATCTCGTGAGAGCTCTGCTCCATTCATGCCTCCTGCTGGGGATCTACGCTGACAAACAGGTGAGCGACCACCACACCATGAGGACTTTTCAGCCTAGCTTGAGAGGAGACCTTCGTGAGAGCCTAACAGAGGAACCTGCCCCGTCTTTCAGGCAATTCTAGACCTGATGAAAGAAGAGCCGGACGATGTGTAATAGTTCTTCTGGGGCCACCTTCGGAAAGACGTCGCGTGCCTGGCAGGCACTTTTTTTTAGGAACACGGAGGATGCCGTGTTGACTGTCCATCTGTTTCTACAGCGCCTGAGCAACGACAGCCTAGCAGGTAGAGACGTGCTGGGAAGCTCTGGGAGGTCACCGGCAGGCTCGTGGTGGTTGGTTTTTAACTGGGACTGGTGTCCTTGGTTCCTCCTTCCCGGGACAGTCTCCATTCCGGGGAACCGGTGAGAAGACAGGGAGGACCGTGAGGGCAGTGAGCTCATTCAGAGCACTCAGGCCAGACCAGCTTGACGACATGAGCAAACTGGGAGATAGTTTGCTCCAAGTAGGCAACTGTTCATCCCTTCTGCTCTCGGTTCCTCTTATTTCTACATCATCTTACTCCCTGCTGTCAAGAAACCCAACAAAGCTCTGGGCAGACCCCAGGGTCTACAGGGTAAAATTTCACGTATTCCTTTGTGTCTTCTACAGATGAGAGTGTAGCCTTGAGCATCCTGCATGAGGAAAAGGACCGAGAAGAAAGGGAAACCTCCTTCAAAGCCCTGGCTCAGCCCTTCTTCCAGGTATGCTTGCGCCCAGCTGCTGCTCGCAGGTACTGTGTACCCAAAGCACTGCTTTGCTGGTGGTTGCGTCCATGTCCAGACACATCTGAGCTCAGGGTTCTTCCCACGTGGAAGAAAAGAGATTTGTCCCCTCTTTTTTGAACTGGGACCTGGTGCAGTCTCCTGCTTTGCTCCTGCAGAGAGCTGGCTTCTTGGATGCTTTTTATATGCCGATTCAGATCCTCCTTGGAAAGCAGTTGGGTTTCCTCGCTTGGAGAGAATCACCTGTGGGTTTCTCCCTGGGCAGTTCTGCTCCTGTCCCTTTGGTGGCAAGTTCTCACCATGCCCCCCATTTCTCCAGAGCCCTTGTTGCTTTTCTTTACACTAAGAACCCATTAATCCCCTCGGGCTGCTTGGGTAACGAGGGGTGGCTCCTAACGACCCTTGGGTTCTTGCAGGAATTGGAGCAGAGCCTTCATTCTGTCAAGGAGCAGAGGATGAATGAAGGTCCCCATGGCTGCAC